CTCTTCCATGTTGAGAGTTTGGAACAAAAGCAGCTTTCTGCTTGAGCTGGACTTCAAAAGGCTGCTGAGTGACTGCTCTAAGTAATACTTTTGTTGTAGATCTCAGGAAATTCACAGATGTCCTGCTGTAACTGTGTGCAGTTCCATGGACCTTTTAACCGAACAGAGAGGTGTTACTGTATTAACCAGACTGATGTCTTGCATTGGGAGTAATACTAGTGAGACCCACAAAGACTAACCGAGGTGCCAGATGCTGTCAAGTTCAGAACCCGTTTTTCTTCCATGAGGTTACCTTATGGGGCAATAAATGTAAAATTCGGTTAGGTGCCCGGAGTTGTTTCTAGACTAGGATTTTTTTTTTTTTTTAAATAGAAGGGAGTTAATCTCTGGTTTGACAGAAGCCAATGATACTTATGGAATTACTCCAAATGAAAGCAGGGAAACTTGGGAAGTGGGTGGTTGACCCAGGCACCAGGTAATGAATGACCCGGGTGCCACATATGGAAGAACCAATTTAGAAACCGGATTGGGGCAGACAGACTCTGGGCCGCTCACGGCGAGTGCTCCCCTCCCGGTTTTACAACTCGCCCCTTCTTTCCGCAGGTTCCCTTTGTTCCTTTTCTCTGTCCGCCTGCCTGGAAGAAACTGCGGGAAAACTGACTGCGGAAACTTCCCTGGTCCGGAAATCTGCCCTTGGCTGCCACCGCGCTAGAGAGCTTCTGCTGGGCTGTGGCCGCTTCGCTCGGCTGCGCACCAGGCTGCGTCTCCTCGGGTGCTGGAGCGGCTCCGAGTCAGCCGGCAGGGCTTCCAAACTGCCCCCCACCAACCCCCGGTTCAAGTTGTCTCGGCATTCAGGTAATGCCTACTCCGGGGTGGAAGACCCACGTGGCATTCTTGCTTCCACTTGGTGGAGAGGGAGAAGGGAGAAAATGAAGTACAGTCCTTTCCCCCTTGTTAAATCCGTGACCCAAAAGCTAAGTCGTGGAGCTGACCTCCCATCTTTTTTACTCCTCCCTCGCTACCCTCCACAACGACTCTCCCCCCTTTTTTTTCTGCCTAGGCTCCATGCACTTGTTTGTGAGCTCGGCGCGCAGCCCTCATGGGTTTGCTCCCTTCGGGCTTCTGCAAGCTTACGGTGCGTTTGGTCTTTTCATGTCTCTTTATATTGCGGCGGAGCAGCCACGAGAGCAGTGCTTTGTGTAAAAGCATTGGCATTTGGCCTTGATACCTGTATCTCTTGATGATTGCAACAAATTTCTAAAATAAATATTGTACTTTGATCTCCTGCGCATTGCATTTTTAATGGAACACCACTTAGTTAAGAATAAATTTCAGGAGGCCCGGAGGGCTCACCGTGCTAATTATCGGTGAAGAAAATGTTCTCAAACTTCTCTATAAGTCAGAGAGATCTGGAAGCAGGGCGGTTGTCCCAATTGGGTGACAAGAGAAGCTAACTGGGCAGGTGCACCTCTATCCAACTTGACGCCCATGTACTCTTTGACCCCAGTATCTTTTTTTTTTCCCCAGGGCCAGGAGCAGCAGGGAGAATGCTTTCGCAAAACACCGGATTCCTATTCCTAAGTGGGGACCTAGGTAGAAAACTCTCTCTCGTAGTAATAACAAACTTTGGAATAGGGGCGGGGGTTTTTTAATGTCTTTTTCCTTTCTTAAAAACAGAAAAATGGAAATCCTTTTAAATATATATTAGGTGTGGTCTATCTAAATGGACTCTCCCATAGCTTCCAAGCTTTCTCGATACCTGGGCATTTTCCATCCTGGTGACCAGGAGCTGATTGTCTAGTGGAAGAAGGGACTGGGATGAGGGGTAGAGGCTGGAGGCAGAAGGTGAAACTAGAAAGACCTAGAGAAAAAAAAACTTGAAAGAGGGAAAAAAACTTTTTGAAGTTTCGAAACTTGTGCAGAGCGAAACAGGGTTGATTTGTGGAGTGCCAGATTTACACCTCTGGGTGTCCTGAAGGGGAAGGTTTTCGTTGATCGGCAGGGGGTGAGACGTGGGCTGTGAATCCTCGCTGCAAAGGTCCCCCCTTCCGCCCCTCCTCTTCGGATCTCCTGCTGAGCCGGACTGCGGCCCCACCTCCAGGCTAAGGCTCAGCGAGCCGAGAAAGGGGGTGGTCTTCAACCCCCCTCCTCTAAACTACAGCCCTCTAGGTTGCACTTCAGTGTCCAGTGGAGCTGGACGATTTGGGGCAGCAAGGGTACGGGGGGGGGGCCGAGAGGAGGCTCCAAAGAGTGGCTCGGGATGTGCTCCCTGAGATTCCTCCCACGCTGCTTATGGGCAGGATAAGCCCGCATCTTCTATAAATTATTCACATTTCACAACTCTCCGAGCTAAGGAAGGAAGCTCACCGATTCGAAGCTGTCGGTGGAGCTGGTGGGTCGCCAGAGCGGAGGAAGAGGGAATGTAATCTGATATCCTAAATTGGATGGGGTGGTGATGAGGAATCGGAAGGGATCTCAACATAAATCCCAGATTCTGAATATTCCAATGGTTCTCCTCCTTCCCTTCACCTCAATATTCTTCCAGGACAGATCTGTGAACTACTTCCAACCACCTCCAGGTCCAACTAACCCGTGCTAGGAAGCACCTAAAATGTACATATTGTTTAGTAAATCCATCACATCTACTTAATCTATGTCGGTTGGATACCCCTTTTACCCTTGCTCCAGGGGTCTGGTTAAACAGTCGGAATAGGGAGGAGTGAGGAGAGAGGCCGCCAGTGTATGAGCCACATGCCCGGGGTGGGGCAGAACATCTAGGGGCCTAGCAGGGCGGCCAGCTCTCC